TACAGGTGGCATGCAGTTAGAATGGATTTAAAACTCCAAGATTATATGGTTTTTGCAACTGTGAAGAGTTTATTCACAACTATTTTTTGTTCTCTAACAACGCTTTGGTTAGTTCATTTAGCCCAAAAACGACGCGAGTTTTTCCAATGGTCTGAGCCCATGGGTTGCATCTATAGAACATTTCGTAAAATTCAGACGATAGTGAAGTAAAATTGACATCGTTTGCATAATCCTCCACTCCCATTCACTTCTTTGAGTTCAAATTCAAATTATTAGCAGTGACGCAAATTAACGGAATACAACATTCTCTTCCCATATTTTCAGTGACAAATGGTAGCAAGTTGTGTGTTGTTGCGTCACATGTTGACTCCCTGCTTCTACCTAAACTTATCAACAGAGAACAAGTCTTTCTGAATGTATCAACGAACCTAACTAATCTACGGCCACTTCCAGGCAGCATATTTTAATTGACCTTCTCTGAAATCCATTTGCTGAACATCAATTCCTTTGAATTAAGGTAACTTTCAACTATGGTCTCATCTTATTATCTCTATACACGTCATTTAGAATGCAAAATTTATTAACCGAACTAGCAGTGTATAAGTTTCGAAAATCCCTGACCTCAATCTTCCAATGGTACACATATATCGAGCGATTTCTTTCAGTCAGCATATTTTTGGACATAGTAAAGTGTTAAATCAAAGCTCCACTGCTTAATGTTTTGAGCAGTTTCAGTCAGGAAGTTGGGGACTCGCTTACAAGGTATGAATTTCCCTCAAGCTACATCAATGGCGAGTCCAAATCCTCTTATATAGCCCATTTTTTAGTTCTATTTACCGTTCGGTAGAAGCCAGAAAAAACGAGTCTCACAACTCTCACCATTTTCTAGAAGTGTGGTGAAGCAACGGTCATTATTTGAAAGAAACGTTTAGACGTCGTGCTCAGTGCCTATCCTGGTTTAGCTTTAAGTGAGAAATGACCCAAAGAAACGGTAAACACGCACGTTAGACAGAGTGAGCGGGATGTCCATGAAAGCGTGTTTGAGTAAGTTTGTTGTATTTAGAGGTATGATCTACCAACCAATTAGATTGCCTCATACATCTCCCGTATGATATCATAGTTACTGTCCCTCAAAAAACCGGATCCAATGGAATGCATCGGTTCTGCAGTAGATTGCTTCAAGAAACTCAGTACGCGATTTGGAGAAAACCTAGTAAAATAGACAACCGCATGGTTTATGTTGGGGATCCGGAGTAACGAGTAGGACGTTAGTTATCAAAATTACTTCGAAAAGATTGTTCTCCAAATTTGCGAACGCGGAGAATAGAAAAGACGATAAACAAAAAGCGGTGAATTTACAGAGCTCTTCCGGTTGGCATTCTTACATTGTGCAAAATGAAAAGCGGACTTGTTATCGCGTGTCAGGCGTAGAACGAAAATGAATGTGTGCGAACGTGTGGATCTAACAGCATGAAGTGACTGTTCGTCATTGGGCTGCTCAGTTTTTGAAAGCAGAGCAATATCGCGTATCTGGAAGAACCCATCATAAACGTTCCGCCCCGTTGAGTAACAAGAATTCTTTCCCCAAACAAATTATCTTAAGATAATAGACAATTCGTGACGGATTATGGGTTGTCTGGATTATTTCTATTCTCGAGAGAATCTTTAATTATGACCTCCAGAGGAGAACGTCCGAAGAGGTGTTTAGAAGTAATCATACAGCGGTATAGTGTTCGGGTCGCGGGGATTAGTAAACGCCATATTGCTTACGGGCTATAACAGATTGATGAGGTCCAACAAGCTGCTCTTGCACTCACACTGGACTCGCCTGGCATTGATGTGTGCTGTCTCAGAAACGAGAATTCAAGATGCAAGCACAGTGATTGAGTTAACCGCCCCGTCAGTCTCCACTCGCTTCCGGCTACGCACCTCTGGTAATCCACAGGCTGCTGCGGTGGGATATGCATGGGTTCGTATTGTGCTAAGTCACCGGGCGGAAGTATCCTTACTTGACTGGATACCTGTTGATAGTCGCCTCTGTGCGGTTCGTCTGCCAACGTCTGTGAAGGAGTCTCACAGGCGGCAAGTCGATAGATGTCTGTTTATCGTGTCTGCCTATGCCCCAACTGACTGTAGCTCTGAC